CATGGTGGGAAACATGGCAAGAGGTTCTTCATCAAGATGAATGGAGGTCTTTATTTCCACATCATTCGCCTTATCAGGAAACACTTTACTTTAAATCCATAAATTATCATATAGTTACAAATAGGATATTTTCAGTTTATCATGCCTGCAATTTGTCATCAGTGCAATCTTTACTACCTTTAAAACTGCAGTAATTTAGCAAGGATAGAGAGGAGTGCTCAGAAGCAAGCTAAATCAGGCAGTGAAAATGCTGGTTGGTATGAGAAATGGTATGAAATTCATGGTATTATGTTTCATCCATATTTGTATTCCTATTGTCAGGGCTTCATACGGTGATAAACTTATTTTGTTAGGTGGGAGAAGTATGATGCTAAAGGCTGGACAGAAAAAGGGGCACATAAGTATGGTAGACTGAATGAACAGTCATGGTGGGAGAAGTGGGGAGAACATTATGATGGAAGTGGTTCTGTTCTCAAATGGTAAGTTTCACTTAGCCGTTACGCAGAACCATTTAGTGTACTAGTGCATTACTAGAATTTTATTATTAGTAATTTGCACTCATGATCTTTTTTACATCAATTTACTATCGTCATACGGTAATATGACAAACTATGTCATCCCATGTTTTATATGGAAAGATTGAAACATTAGATTCTTGGAGATTTTTTTATCGTCTTCATAATATAACTTGAACCAATGTGGAGATTATAAAATTTCCTTCTCTTTTCATTTTCGTGTGGTCAGGCCATCCCACTTCAAGCGCCTTCCTATAATTATTATATTAAAATATCTGTTTCTATATACTTAATCTGATTGAGATTATAAAATTTCCTTCCCTTTATATTCTCATATTTGGTCAGACCATCCTACTTCAAGCACTTTGCTATGGTTATTATATTAGAATTTATGTTTCTACAACATGCAGGACGGATAAATGGGCTGAGACTGAATTGGGAACTAAATGGGGAGATAAGTGGGAAGAGAAGTTCTTTGCGGGAATTGGCTCACGTCAAGGGGAGACATGGCATGTATCTCCAGGTGGCGAACATATGTATAGTCATTTCAGTCTATCTGCATGTCAATCGTGATGCATAATTTCACAAAGTTGTTTGGGTTCAGGTTTTAGGTTGTACATAATATATTAACCATATTAATTATCCGTAGAAAAAATCACCCATCCTATATATGTCTCCAAGGTTTGCACTTTAGCACGAGCACACCGTATTTCAGTAAAACACCTGTGGAAGATCTCTAATCAGTTTACACATAAATGAATTGTTTAATTGTAGTAAGCTGTAACAAGGCTGGTAGAATTCATCAACACTGGATGTAAAGGCTGAGTAGTTATATGATACTTGTTTTCTTTTTATATTTTTGGTGACTAGGCATGTAGAAGCGACCTAAGGAATGTTTTGCCTAATATTCCTCTATAAAGTTCAAGTAATGTGATGTTTCATATTTGTGTTTGTTGCTTGTTCAATTTTATTTGTGCTTGGACTTACAGACTGGTCAAGAAAATGGGGTGAGGAGCATTTTGGAAACGGGTACGAAACATTACTTCAAACCCTAAAACTCTTTGATGTTATAAGCTAGAATTTGCATGTTTTCAGTGCTCGTGTTCTTGTTTTAAATTATTTTGGTGATTAGAATTTGGACCCAGGCTTTTCTATTTGATCATGTATTTCACTCAGATGCATTATCAGCTATGGTAGGGGACTAATGTGCTTTGTATCATAAACAGAAAAGTTCACAAATACGGGAAGAGCACAACTGGTGAAAATTGGGATATTGTCGTTGATGAGGAGACCTGTTATGAGTAAGAGCATGCAGCTTTTGGTTTAGTTCAACGGTTGCAAATGTTTATGTTTGTGTGTGTAAATACGAGAGAGAGAAGAGTAAGGTGTAATATTTTACTGTGAAGATAGCAGTAGTTTGCAGTAGAAATCTGACAAGTTTTTGCATTTTTGTTTCAGGAGTGAACCTCACTATGGATGGGCAGATGTGGTGGGCGACTCAAGCCAGTTGTTATCCATACAACCTAGGGAGAGGCCGCCTGGTGTCTACCCACCCCTTGATTTCGGGGCATCGGCACGTCAAGGCAATGACCAATCCGACATGCCTCCCACTTCAAAATCATGAGTAGCTGTCGGTTCGTTTGTTTATCTCTTTCGACCCTCATCTATTTTGTTTTAAACGGTTCATATCATTTAATCATATTGGTTTAAACTAAAAATATGTTTTAGGAGACATTTTGGATTATTTCACTTTGATTTATTCATTTTCCAATTGGCGCGTTTAAGATAAATTTTTAGAAAAATTCTAAAGTATGTTTAGATTGCTAACAATTTATAATATATAAGTTTAAAGATAGAATCAAATTGATTTTTTTTAAAAGATTATAATTTTTTCTTGTTTTATAATTTGAAAATAAGTTTTTTTATATTTAATATTAATGAAAATGACAAAATATTATTATAAAAGAGTTGCTAACTGTTTTTATTGACTTGAAAAAAAATAATATTCTGAAAAACATTTATAAATAAAAAAACTTTTTCTAATTTTACCAAATGAAACATGGGAAAATTGAACCCAATCAAACAGGATGGTTTACAGAATGGAACCAGCCTTACCCTAGCAGATTTGTAAGGTGCCCAAGAAATCTTGTATGTTTTGGCTTGGGTTGGTTTCGATGAAATTCAAGGTTCCTCTTGCGTTTTGAACAATTTGATATTTTTTGTATCAGTCAAATTCATCTACATAGGTCAATCATGGAAGTAAGATCTCTCTTGGGTGGGTTGATTAAAAGCCGATTAGCAAGTTTAACGTGAACATATACGTTGGTCCTAAATAATCGAACCAAATTGTATAGAAGCACAGGCTTGGACTTGGAAGAGCCTGCTCTACACCTGTAATGTGTATTTCAAATCTGACTAATTCTGGAGTTAAGGCTTAAGCTGCGTTGAACCGATATTTCGAGAAGTAGGGGTATATTTGGCTCGGTTTGATTTTTTAATAAAATATAAAGTGAACAGTACTTTACGGGTTTTAAAAATTAAAACTGATACCGAAATTGAATGGCGTAAAAACTTCGGTTTTTAGTTTGGTTTGGTTTTGTTTTATTGTTTTTTATTGTTTTTTTATTTTTCAAACTCAACTTTCAAAAAAGATAAATTTAAAGCTTAAATCGAGTGAAAATATATAAATTTAAATTTGTATAAAAATATTTTAGTTTTAATATTTTATTTATTTAAATTCATCTTATAATTAATTCAAAATGAATTTGTTTTGGATACTTGTTTTGTTTTGTTTTTTTAAATTTTGATTCGATTCAAACGGTTTTCTTATAAAAAAAATTGAATCCGAATCAAATTGCATATTTATTTTTTAAAATCGAATCATAAATTGAAAAACTCAAACCGAACCGTATTAGATATTCTAATTTAAGTCAATTTTTCAATTTTCTCGATTTCATCGATCAACCCTAATCAAGGAGCAAGCTCTCCCAGCACTTTTTTTCTTTCATCAGAGGCTTGAACTCAAATTTTACTGCAGCAGCATATGTGAGTAATGCATATAGTGTAAATTTAGGGGGTGCGCTATTCATACTCAGGGAGTAGTTAAAATGAATAATTATCATTTGATAATTTTAACTTTTTTACTATCCTTACAAAGGAACAATGTATTTCCCTAATTAGAATATACAATCGATCATTTCATTTTTTTTCATTCTCTGAAAAAAATTTATCGAAGAGAGTAACATAAATATGTTCCACTTCCTCATCTCAAATATATAGAGTTTGAAAGATTTGATTTTTGGTGAAATATTCATTATAGTATCACCCTAAATAAGATTACATTTAAACTATTAATATTTACTCAAATATAATAAATTATTCTATTTCTTTTACTATTTTATGATTATTTATTAGTAAATGTTAATATTATTATTGTACAACTGTACTACTTTTTAACGCCATCCAACTTTTATCGTTCAATATAAGAGGCAATGGTAACATCCAAAGACTTCACATTTATGTATAGCTTTAAGTGTTGAGGCAATTCAGCATCAGTTACTGCTGTCCTAGAGTGTACATTAACCTAAATGTGAGGAGTAAATGATGTGGCAATTTCTCACATGATTTGGGTCTTCGTCTGGATCAGTCTTATATAACTGAAGAAATGTTCTGAATGAAATGGCTCAACATGTAAATGAAAACCTGCTCACCCCTTCCCTAATCTACACCCCAATTCCGGTTGAGATCAACTCCTCTCCCTGCTAGTGGCAGACCCCCTTTTGTTTAGAATGAGCACTCGTCCACCTTAAAATTCTAATTTTCTTTAACTAATTATTTATTTTATTAATTATTTCTGTCAACTCATACAAAAAATGATATTATTATTAAAGTGTGTCCACCTCAAAACTATTTTAGATCCATCGCTAAACATTTCAACTTCTTGCGCAGGATCCTACATATTTTATGTTATTGTTATAAAACCGTGACTCCCAGTTCTCCTTTTACAATATTATCCTGCTTCTACAAGTTTACGGCCATCGAGATTCTTCAATGGCGTTATTTAACCATATTATTTAAATTATTAATATTTTTCTTAAATTTTAGAAGTTTAATAATCAAATCAATCAATCAGGTATAATATATTGATATCTAACGTTGTCTTATCCAATAAATTAGTAGCAAAAGTTGGCCTAAAAAATTATTCTACACGTTGCATTCGGTCAAAGTGGATTGCTTCTTATTTAGGGTCATTTTAGTATGGATCTTGGTGGGAGAGGTATAGATATGGGCTTGTTTATTCATGGAAAGTGAACTGTCCATTACCATTTAAATCTGAACTTATTGTGAACCGTAGATCAAAAGATATGACCGTTTGAAACGCTCCCTTAACTCCGCAATTTCAAAAGTTTAAACCTAACGTCACTTTCTCACAATATAATAGCCGACATACTGAATCAATAAAGTTTCAAAATAACAACACAAATCTGAAAATTCAACCCTACGCTCTCAGTCCTTTTCAACAAGACGACCGTCACCATTTATACTCCGTTTGAATCTCCACCGGTTCTCTGTAAAAGGCAAAAGAAGAAGATACCATGTCGAAGATGAGATATGATCGTAAGCCCCCGCTTGCTAAATCGCCTATTCGCCTACGACCCCGTCGCGTCCTCGGTTCAAACTCAACCTCCCTGCAAACCCCGTCAGGTCTTTGCGGTTACAGCTCACACTGCAACTCGTAATTTCGTTTGATTTTTTATTTATTTTTTGGAATAAAGGTTGGTTTGTCTGTTTGTTTTCAAAGGTTTTTTGACGAAATCCCAAAAGCCGGTTCGTGCTTGGAGCAGTGAAGAATATGAGATTCGACCTGAATATCTGTCCATTTCTAGCGAGTTACGTGCTTTGGCTAGGATGGTTAAATGTGAAATCGGAAACGCGGAAACGGAGAACGCTGGTTTTGGCGAGACTAGTCTCGGCACAAACCCGACTACTCTGTTCGAGAGAGGCAGGTTTTACGAGGAGTACTCGGCGAGGAGAAACGAGAGGCTGAAGAGAAGGAAAGGCGAAACGGGGACAGAGTCGAAGAGTGGGCACCATCCTGGACTTGGAGTAACCATTGAATCTTCAAAGAGAACACAGTCGAAGAAGCTGGAGAGCTTGAGGAAGTCGGTGTCTGCTGCTTATTCCGTGGAGGGGAGTGAGATTCAAACTCCCAGGTATTCGCTCCGAAGCATGAGCAAGACCAAAGATAATAAGAAACCTCCCATTGCTGTCAATAATTACAATTCGTCTGTGTCTATGATTGGCACTGCAAGCAAAACTACGGCTAGACGAGTTGGTCGAAGGGTCTGAAAATTGGAAATTGATTTTTATTAGGCTTTTTTATTGGTTTAAGAAATCTGGGATTTCATTTTTTTATTGGATTTTATGTTTATGCTTTCGATTAGGTTTAAGTGTTTTCGTTTGATGCATATGAATAGGAGGTACTCAAATAGCATTCAGCTTTTATATTTTCTTGTTGGACGAATGAAAACAAGCAAAGAACTGAATTTGCTTATGAAGTTTCATTTTCTCCTTTCATATGTGATAACTCCTACAGATGAACAAGACTTATCAAATTATTAACAGTTTATTTTAGAAAATTTTAATATTTTTTTAGCTTTTTACTTTATCTTACTCTTATACTATCTTCAAATATAAATAATTTCATATTTAAGACAACTAATACATAAAATATAACAGTTTTTTACCGATTAGGATTAGTAAAATAGAAATTAGAAAGCTGTTCATTTTAAGTTGTTACATCATCAACATCCTAGAATCTGCAATCTTCAGAAACTCTCCTCTATAAAAAAAAAACCTTGTCTTCTTTTATTTTCATCTGCGGAAACAAAAATTAAATCTTTAATTTTCCTACGTTGGCATGGCGGAGGCTCCCACCGAAACCCAACAACCTCGTCCGGTCTTTTACGTTGTTTTCCACCTTGGCTTCGGTGGAGCAGACGCTGGCGGTAAGCCTGGGCTGGCGCCGGCGTCAAAAGCTTCCATAGAAGCAATGCCAATGACAAAAGTGAAGGAGTGTGGTAGCGATTGTAGTATTTGTTTGGAAGAGTTTGAAATTGATGAGGAAGCCAGGGAGATGCCATGCAAGCACGTGTTTCATTCGGATTGTATTGAGAAGTGGTTGCAAATCCATGGAACGTGCCCGGTTTGTCTGTTTTTGATGCCTGCCGAGACAGTCGAAACCAGAGGCGGTGACGGTGATCGGAGAAATTTGGAAGATGCAGAGACTAATGGTTTGGAGTTTTTACATTCATTTTTAGCTTTCGCTAGCCTGGCAAGCTTGATGGGTGTTTCCGGTTCACATCAACCTGATTCGGGTCGTGTCGATGATGTTGATACTACGCCTTCGAATTAAGACGCGGATTGCAACCGAAACAAGTAAACGAACGTAACATTGAATCGAACAAAGAAATACTTTAGTCCATTTAATTTAATTCTTTTTATTTGCGTATTATATGAAGAGAGTAATTTTATACTCTTTTTATTGAGATGTTGCTTTTTATTTTACAAAATACTCCATATCATTACGAATTTATGTATTTTTTAATATTGAAAAATAATGAATCTTATAAATATTAAACTATGTTGCTCTCATGTTGACTTAAATTGTTTTTAAAAACTACACAAGTTCAGTTTGTGTACTAAAAAATCGTAAACTACTTAAATCAACATCCTCTCTATCTCAGTATGGACCACCTGATAACTGCCTTGCATGTTGATGTAGAAGGAAGGATAGGCTTGATGAATATCATTTTGCCTGTATGCAATCCAAAAGGTTGCACATTTGCCGTACTGACTGAATGCAGTGAAATGCCAATATGATGCTATTTCCAACGCCTTACAGAATATGATAAATCATGCACATCTGATTTCAGAGCTACATCAGTTAGGTCTTGGTGGATTGACGGAAATGTACTTTTGCATCCGTTTTCAAATGCACAGTTATTACCATATGTAAAGGTATCACGAGGGCGAATTGCTCATGACAACATACTTTTACATGGAATTGCCAAGAGTAGCATTTTCCAAGTAATTTAGCGTGTGTGCCTCTTACCAGAAACAGATACAAGGCCCAGAATAGAGGGCAGAGTCAAGTGACTGTTCCGATTGGCATGAAACTTACCAAGGTAAATTTCAGTCCTCAACTACATAAATTTTATTGGCAAAACTGTGCAACGCGATAGGCTAAACAAAGAAGAAAATCCTGAAGAGAAACCGATATTGAAAACGCTAGAATAGATGCACATAATTAATTCAAGTCAGTGAAAGTAACCGTACAACTCCAAGAAGCAAATGCACAAGTTCCAGAGGTTCGAGGCATCCATGGTTGGACCAGTGAGTAGAACCCTGAAGAATCTAAACGGAAGCAGAGCATTTGGTCCAGTTACAGTCCATGATGCAAACTGACCAGGCTTGCACATAGTTTGGTCATTCTCATCCACTCTCAAATCTGTCCAAGTCCTTCCATCCATGGAACCCTGGAAAGTTGAAGGATAGTTGATGTTAGCCATCTATTTTTACTCATCCAAGCTGGATCTTAAAAAGGTATAAAACTAAGAAGTTTTACACGATGTGAACAGATGCTGCCTCATATATATTCATTACCTGAAATTTCCAATTCCTTATGTAGGCCCAGGACCCGTTCTGTCTCAATGTGTAGTAGTTGCACATAAGCTGCATTAATCACATTTGATATTTATACTCCAAGTAGGGCCGCCGACAATCAAATAAATCCTGGTGCATTCTATGACCGGAAGAGATCAAAAAACACCTGGAATTTGAGTACTCAAAACTTAATACAACTAAATGAATGCTCTTACAATACGACAGATAAGAGAACAAAGCAGGAACCTGATGATCTTGGCCAATGTCAACCATCCACCATGCACAGATATTTCCGTCTTCCATACGATGCCCAGCAAAACATGTTCCCTGAAGCAGGACATCATTTGGTTAAGCAAAATAATACATGTATTGTGCTTTGAACTTGTTGTGGAGACCTTTGAGAAGGTTTGATTCATCATACCTGGTAAGTTCTTGATACCAAAACCTTGGGGTCATTGTGTCTTGAAACAGGGCTACTAGGTGTAATAGCAATTCTCTGAAGCAAGAAGTTACAGAAGAAGATAAGGAACAGTAACTGTAGTATGAATGAAAAATCAGACAGGATTGAACGAGTATTTCACCTTGGACAGAACAGGGTTAACCCATGGATGTTCCCCGTATGATGTCCCAGAGAAGTAGAGAACTCCATTGCTATCCCCATCACATATATATACTGGAGCTCCTTATAACTGGAACGTCTATGTTGAAACTTTGCACTTCACAAGATAGAAATTCACGTTAGTCAAGCTCAAGAATTCGGCCCTTTGGAAATCAACTTAGAAAATATGACATTTTTATTAAGAATGGAAGCCTGTACAAGTATGAGCGAGATATCAAGATGCATAAGCAAAAAACTTACTTCTGGTCATTTCCATGCGTTGCTGTTCTGCATTCTATATAATCAATGGCTTCCCTAACCTAGTTCGTTTAAGACATTAGCAAGGGAGGAAACAAAATATAGTATAAAAAACATGTCCAAAATGCATCTTCAAAGAGGAACAATAAACTTACAAGATGACCAAAAGCAGGAATCTGCCTGCTTAGACTGGTATCTTCCAACTGCAACGTCATTGAAAATAGTAGCAGTCGATAATTGAGTCATAGTCAGATCTTAGCACTCCTTCATAGATAAGGTTAGATAGATCCGGGGTTTTATTACCTTCTTAAGCAGGGAGTATGACATTAAAGGAAACCGCACTAATGGAAGCAAGTCATTAACCAGTTGGAGCCTATCCTTGAACACACTTTCCAAAGTTGAATTTGTAATAAGCTCATTCACCACTTCCGACCCACACAATCTCTCTGATTTCTTGTACCACATCAAAATTGCATTGAGAACTCTTTCTTCAGATGTTACCGTTAGATATGGATTCTGCAAGAAATCCAAATTTATAATAATAAAAAGGAAACCTATCGTGTGGTATACTTCTTATGTGACTCTATATCTGGATTATAACTTGCATAAACCAACCCAAATAATTTAGAAAGTCCGTATTATAGCAATGTAATAAGCAAACGCCATTACCACACAGTTATCTATATAACTGAGTATTGATTGTAATCTTAAAATGTAGCAACATAAAGCCATTACTACACTGCTTCTCACCCTTCACGTTCGAAATTAGATTCTATGCACAGAGCATATTGGCCTCGTCCTAAGAAAGCTAAGATACCATTCGAGTTTTTGCATGTGACTCCCCACCTGACAAATATTCCTAAATGTTGTCTCGTCTAAAGAGATGAAATCAATGCTTGCAGTAGTCAAAGTGCATGGAAAACTTCCTTTCACAAGTTTCCTTGATAAGTTTACACGATGGGATTGACAAAACCGCTTGGAGTATTGGACAGACAGAGTCCTTCAACAAAGTTCAAGGGTTAGCTTCCCAAGCAACATCCCTATTGTGAACATCTGCAGCACAACAAATTATATAAGCCCTATTGTCTGCTTCCTCGTCCATTAAACTTGTGCTAAATAGAAAAACTCGTTATGTGACCACTTCCACTAGAACTACATCCCTGCATGTATATGTACGTGAAAGGTATCAATATTTTTATAATTCATTGTTATAAAATGGGTCTCTTCTTTTGTTTTCAGAACTCCGAAACCGCAACTCACTTCTCTGCTCTTTTAATTCTATTCATACAGAAAAACATGATAAGACATGGGCAACAAGACATATATATATATATATATATATATATATATATATATTTGACAAAATGACCAAATCAAATTATTTCATAAGCTCTAGATTAGTAAACTACCTCTGAGAGGCATTCCAAAAGCATTTTGCAGCATTCTTGATGAAGAAGAGAGATTCCAAATTTGTCAGATAATAGGAGGAGATGGAGTGACAAGGTACCGAAGTCCTCATTATCCTCAATCTTGAGTTCCCCGCAGTACATGAATTCAAGCATAGCCTTCAATGCTACTGGAGTCACATCCCTCAAACAAATCTCTGCTGAGTTGCTCTCACACATTCCATTAGTGAACATCTGCAGGCAATTAATGTTATTAGTCAAATACTGTTGACACGACCGAACTGAGAACCACAAGAAATAGCAAGATTGAATAGGAGACATGACAAACTGGAGAAAGCAAGACAAAAACAAGTCTTTATCCCAAAATTTCCAACCTTAAATATTATATCGCGGCAACCTATAAGAAACATATCCCAACACAACTTCAGAAAAGTTCCATGGTATATGCTACTATTCCGTTTTGAAAGTATAATGTATTTCGTTTAATAGACTTAAATATCATTGGCAAGATATCATATCTGCATAAGACCTTGCAGCATTATCCATAGAAGGCATGATATCCTCACCTTTGCAAATGG